CGTGGGAATAACACTAACACGCCAGGCTGCAGCACTCGGAGCTCCAGGGCCACGGTCCGACTCCTCCCCGGGTCCCACGCTGCAGCCTGGCCTGCGCTTCTCCGAGGCAGGGCTGGGGCCGCACTGAGTGAGGGGCTCAGGCTCAGGGTGGTTCCAGGCCAGGGTGGGGCCCAGAGGTGCCTTTGGCTCACAGGAACTCTGCAATGATGACTCCGAGTAAACTTCACTTTTCCTCTTGTGAAGAAGATACATGTTCATCATAGCGAATTTTTTTAAAATCCTAAAGCAACATCTAGTTTCACTACCGAGCGGGATTCAGAGCTAATACTTTGGTGTGTTTCTGCTGTAAGCATTTTTCTTTTTTTTAGATGGAGTCTCGCTCCTCACCCAGGCTGGAGTGCAGTGGTGTGATCTCGGCTCACTGCAACCTCCGCCTCCCGGGTTCAAGTGATTCTCCTGCCTCAGCCTCCCAAGTAGCTGGGATTACAGGCGCCTGCCACCACGCCCAGCTAATTTTTGTATATTTAGTAGAGACAGGGTTTCGCCATGTTGGCCAGGCTGGCCTCAAACTCCTGACCTCAGGTGATCTGCCCACCTTGGCCTCCCAAGGTGCTGGGATGACAGGCGTGAGCCACTGCAGCCACCGTGCTGTAAGCATGTTTATAGACGTGCGATCGCCTGCTTTGTATCCCTTTATGCACTTTCATCAGGGATCTTTCCTGATTGTAAGTGATGCTTATGTCTTGGGGAGAATGTGAAAACCACACAAAGCATGAAAATAAAACATCCTGAATCCCAGTCCTGGCTGAGCTTAGCGTTGTCATGGGGCTGATTTCCACTCCCCGCCCTACCCCAAGGCGGGTGAGCTCCCTTCGCTCCCCCCTCCTCCACCCGCTCCCTCTCCCCCTTCCTCTCCTCTCTCCTGCTCCCTCCTCTCCCCTTTCCTTCTCTCTCCCTCTCCCTCTTCTCACACTCCCTCCTCTCCCTCTTCCCTCCTCTCATGCTCATTCCTCTCCCTCTTCCTTCCTCTCCCCCCCTCTCCCCCCTTCACACTCCCTCCTCTCTCCCCTCTTCCTCTCCTCTCCTCATGCCTAGTCTCCTCTCCCCTCTTCTCCTTCCCTCTCCCCTCCCTCCCTCTCCTCCTCTCCCTCCTCCTCTCCCGCCTCCTCCCTCCTCTCATGCCTACCACTCCTGTCCCCCCTCCCTCCCTCTCTCCCAGTCCCCTCCTCCCCCTCCTCCCTCAAGCATGCTCATTCCTCTCCCTCTTCCTTCCTCTCCCCCTCCCTCCTCTCTCCCTCCCTCCTCTCATGCTCACTCCTGTCCCACTCCCTTCTCTCTCCTGTCACCTCCTCTCCCATCCCTCCTCTCATGCTCACTCCTCTCCCCTCTTCTCTCCTCCCCCCTTGTCTCCCCCTTTCCTCTTCTTTCCCCCTCCCTCCTCTCATGCTCACTCCTCTGCCCCTCCCTCCTCTCTCCTGTCCCCTCCTCTCCCCTCCCTTCTCTTCCCCTTCCCTCCTTTCCCCCTCCCTCCTCTCACACTTGCTCCTCTCCCCCTTCCCTCATCTTCCCCTCCCTCTTCTCCCCTGTCCTCATCCTCCTCTACTGCTCCCTCCTCTCCCCTTTGCCCTCTCCCCCCTCTCTCCCGTCCCCTCCTCTCCCCCTCCCTCCTCTCCCCCTCGCCCCCTCCCTCCTCTCTCCTGAAGTTACCCAGGTGTCTCTGGCACTTGTCCACCCCCAGCCCCAATCCAGGCCATTCATGCAAGAGATCCTTCTCCCATGGGGCTCCCCTCCTGAGCCCAGTCGGCTTCCAGGATCCTAGGAAGCACAGAGCCAGGAAACCGCTGCCCTGAGGGGCCTACTGGAGAGCCGGACTGCAGGGTTTGACTGGGAAGGGCCCTGCAGCCCCGCCTGTGTGTGGGGGGAGGTAAATGCGCTTGCAGAGAAAGGGAAGAAGGGGGCGAGCCACACCCCCTCCCCTGAGACCTGGGGACTTTTCCTCTTTCTCAGGCCTGCGGGCCCTTCTGCGGATGGGGACTCTGGGCCCAGTCTGGTATCCCAGAAGCAGCTGTGGGGAGCAGGCCTTTACCCCACTGTGCCCATCGTCCACAGCCCTGGGTGGGTCTGAGTCTCCAGGTGTGGGGAGGGAGAGGGTGGGAGGGGGAGGGGGTAGGAGGAGGGGGAGAGGGGGTGGGAAGAAGCAGAGGGTAGAAGGAGGGAGAGGGTGGGAGGAGGGGGAGAGGGTGGGAGGAGGGGGAGAAAGTGGGAGGAGGGGGAGAAGGTGGGAGGAGGGAGAGGAAGAAGGATGGAGGAGAGGGCCTTGAATGTGCAGTGCCCCTGGCAGGGCCTCTCTGACTCCTGTGGGTGGACCCAATCTTCCTCTTCCAGCACGACCTGGCCAGGCAGGGGATGAGGAGGGAGCATGAGGTGGGCTTGGCAGAGGAAGCTGTCCCGGGAGGCAGGGGAGGGCGGGGCTGTTTCTGGAATCTGCCTGCCCTCCACCCCCACCCCACCCCCATCGGGGTCCTGTGTTCAGGGAGAGGAGCCCCTCAGTCCGCCTGGCCTCCGGGAGCCCTGGGGCCTCCAAACGTAAGCGCAGGAAAAGGGGAATCACCCACCACCACTGTCCTGTGTGAGTGGCTTTCTTAAACCCATAAAAGTGGGTGGAACAAGAAGGAAAGACCATCCCAGGAAACTGCCTTTGTCCACAGGGAAAGTTAAGAGGAGACTCAGGGCTGCTGGTGGGAGCCCCAGGGTTGCTGGCCCAGGCCCTGCTTCTGCCAGTCCCTCTCCTCCCCACCCCTCTCCTCCCCCTCCCCTTTTGGAGTAACTGCACCCCTCCCCCGCCCACGCCCATGCGCAGCCCCCAACCCCAGCCCCAGGGTGGGTCCCGCGTCCCCCTTTAAAAATCTTTTTCCTCCCAGGTCTCTCAGTCACCGCCTCTCCTTTGACCATGGCTGGCCAAGCTCTGCGCGATGCCTTGGTCGCCTCCCTGCCCTACCCAGGGCACCCGAGATGTGGAGGATCTGCTCTCCATGGGCTCCAAAAACCCAGGCCCCACCTGGGACATTTTCTAGACAAGGAGGCCACCAAGGCCCACGCAGTGAGGGTGGACAGGGAGGGGACAGTGCTCCCAGCCCCGCAGGGCTAGGCTGCAGCGCAAGCCTCGCCGAGCCTCGGGGCCCCGCCCTCCACTCTCCTGGCGCTGGCTGGACCTCCCTCCTGGGGGTGGAGGTCTGTCCTCCACTCCCAGGAAAGGCTGGGAGGAAACTCATCCAGGGATTTTCCATCCCAGAAGCTCTTTATCCACAAAAGTCCAAGTGCCTTCTGGGAGGGAGCAGGACAGCTGCGCCCACGGGCAGGGGACAGGCCCTGTGTTTGTGCCCTGAGGGCCGGTGGTGGGGGGCTGACTGTGCCCCAAGGGCGGGTGGTGGGGCTGTCTGCGACCCCTCCCCAGTGACTGCGTAGTTTCCGGAACGCCCTCCCATGACTCCCTCCTAGGGTGTGGTGTTGGAAGGCGGCCCCCACTATAAACACCGAGGACCCAAGCCCTCCAAGCATCTGTGGAACAAAGACATTTTTTATTTCTTCCTACTGCCTCCACTATCCAGTGAATTTTCCTCCCAACTTAGAACATGATTCATCCAGGAGGACCCTGTTTCCAGGGGTTACACATGCGGTTTCCATGGTGGTGGCCCTGTACGCCGGTGAAGTGGCACAGGGACAGAGAGGCACATGCCGGCCCCTCCGAGGGCCCAAGTGGTGCACGCGGCCCTCGGCTCCGCCCTGGCACCTGGGCACGGCGGCCATCCCCTTCCCCTCCCACCTTTGTAGGGGTGAACCCATCTCCATCTCCTCCCTGTGAGGGTCCAGGGGTCTGGCTGGCCCACGTGTTTGCTGGGCACCTAGGGCAGGGCGGCGCCTGGCCCCAGCCTGTTTGCTGAGTGTGAATGAGTCCGCTGGCGGGAGGCAGCCTGCGGTTGGATCTCCCCGGGGTCGGGTGGGGCAGGTCCCAGGGCCACAGGTGCGGAAGGTGCAGCCCGTCCTGGTCCCAAGCGGGGGTGCGACGGCTCAACGCTGGTCCGAGTCAGGCTCTCCCTACGGGACGTCCCCCAGGTGATCTCTGGGGCCTCGCTGACCACGGGCCTCCCCAGTCACCAACAGGACGGCAGAAGGCAGAAAACAGGCCGGGGGGACGCGGCCGTTGCCACAGGAGCCCGTGGCTGCAGGGAAGACGCCTGGGCTGCAGGCGGGGCTCCTGGCAAGTGTGGGGGACGCGGCCTCCCACCGGTCGGGTCGGAGGGAGCAGGCTTCTGGGGAGAGTGGGCGACATCGGCGATCCAGGAATGGGTCTGCGACAGACTGACTCCCGGATAGGAAAACACGCGTTTCTGGAGCATCGCCTGTAACTGGAAAGACCCGGCCACACAGTCAAGGCTCAATTCCAGGGGCTGTTCCGTCAATCACGGGCCCTGGGACGGTGGCCCCGGACTGCGGGGAAGAGAAGCTCTGCGCGCCCTCGTTCGTTCCGGGAGCGCCTCTGGGAGCCGCAGACTCTGGATATCGGAGGGCGGGCGCGGCCCCGTGGCGGGAGACCAGGGTCCGGATATCGGAGGGAGGGCGCGACCCCGTGGCGGGAGACCAGGGTCCGGATATCGGAGGGAGGGCGCGGCCCCGTGGCGGGAGACCAGGGTCCGGATATCGGAGGGCGGGCGCGGCCCCGTGGCGGGAGACCAGGGTCCTGGGCTTGCGTCCCGCCCTCTCTGCGTTGCCTTTAGCGACTCCTCTGAGACGGGCTGAGGCGGAAACTCCCGCCCTGAGTGTGAAACTCAGGAGCTCGCTGAGGCCCCCTGGTGCTTCCCGGGGCCACGTGCACGGGCCTAATTTCATTTTGTTCCATTGCCCGTACGCTGAGAATTTCATTTTCAGTGAGAATCCGCCATAGAAGCTCTGCTTCTGGGAACTGTCATTTCAAAGAGACGCAGAAAAAAAAAAAAAAAAAAGTCTCGACGACGCTGTGATCTCGCCGGTTGAGAGGCCACTGCCCGGAAACCCAGGGCCCATGAGGCAAAGGGCGGGGGGTCCGGGGCTGCCCGGCGCTGGCAACACAGAGGCTCCCCCAGGCCGTGCCGGGCGCTGGCGCCGCTCTGAGGACCCCCGAATGCACCCGTCTCCCAGGCGGGCATCACGCCCCAGCCTGCGGCTCCCGGGCGCCCATCAGGCGCTGGTCCAACACCCCCTCCGGGGAGGGCTGCGGAAAAGCGCTCCGAGCCCGTCCCCCGCACACGGTGGGCTCCCGCCGCAGGCCCCCGGGACACGGACGCGGCAGGGACGACCCCCAGGGCACGGGTTCAGCGTTCCGCGTTCCCTCATGCCGGCCTCTGCTCTGAACATCTGGCAGGAAGATTTCTTCAAAGCCGTCTGGGCCGTGGGGGAGTCTGGCCGCGTTCCCGGAGCCTGTTCCTCCGATGTCAGAGGAATGGGGGAGCCCGCAGGAGCCGGCGTGGACCCCGGGGACGAGGCTTCCCGGGAAGTGACTGCGCTGAGGCCGCACCTGGCCCCCCAGAGCCCACCCTGAAGGGTCCCGGGCCGCCGGCGCGTTCCTGCCGACGGGAGTCACTTCCGGCGCCGCCGACCCGGGCTGGGAGGCCCTGAGGTGTCTGTGGGCAGCAGTGGGGGCCCTCGGGTGGGGTCACCGGGGCTGGGGAGGGCCAGGGCTGCACGACTGACACAGCTCAGACCTGGGGTCCCTGTGTGAGACCCCCGGGGCTGGGGCCCGAACCTCCTTCCTCTGTGCCCCCACCATGGCTTCTGGGCCCAAAAGGTGGTGGGGGCAGGGGCAGGCTCCCGAGCACTGGGTTTCAAGCCCCTTTCCCGGCCCTGATGCTGTGGGTCCTGCCCAGACACCCGGTTCCCTTCGCAGCGCGGGGCAGGGCCGAGGGGCTTCCAGGACCTGGTCTGGGAGCCCCACACAGGCCCCCCCACCCGCAGTGGGAGCTCGGCTGCGGGGCTGCCCCACATCCCGCGCACCCGGGGGTGCAGCAGTTTTAATGAGGCTGGAGCAGTAGGGAAGAAAGGGTTAGGGTCCCTTACAGTCCAGCAGCCCCCACTCCAGCTGGGTCCCAGAGAGACGGGGCGGGCGGCTCCTTCCCACTCTGCAGGGAGCTGAACATGGGTGGCCTCAGTCCCAGGTCACCCCACTCCTCAGAGACCGAGAGGGTTTCCACGCAGGACCACAGCATCTATAAGGGGCCACTCAGACCCTCTGTCTCTCTGCCTGACCACACGTGGCTCAGAGGAACTGCTGGTGTACCCCAGGCTGGATGAGCCAGGAAAGCTGAGGCAGTCAGAACTGGGTGAGGTCCCAGCTCTGTCACCCACTAGTTGCGTGAGCTCGGGTTGGAACACAGGCTCCCAGAAGCTCTGTTTTCTCAAGTTGTCAAGAGAACACCCACTCTGTCGGTGGGAGCTGGTAGCGGGAGTAACAGTGACAGAGTTGGGGCTCCCATGAGGCCAAGGTCCGTAGCCTGGGGGCTCAGAGACCAGTCCAGTTGGACGCAGCGCACAGCTGCCAGGGGCCCACCCACCCAGCCCGGCTTCCGGGCATCTGGTTTCCATTGTCCCCAAATGGGAGTCACAGAGCCTGGGGCCTAGCGCTTGGGTAACATCTGGGCTTCTCAGAAACACTCACACTCCTTGGGCCAATCAAACCCCAAAGAGAGGGTGCGGTGGGCACATGGCCGGTCGGTGGAAAGAGACCTCATCTCCGTTCAGGGCCTCCGGGCTTCAGGGACATCTCAGCGCCCCCCTTATGGAGCTGTAGCCGGAGGGCCTGGGATCAGGACAGGCTGGGAGCAGGACGCAGCCATCCCTGCTCTGAGCCGGGTCTGGAGTCCCAGGGTGCCAGCCACAGCCAGGCAGGAGGGCCCAGAGCAAGGCCCTCCCTGGTGCCCGGCCTCTGGAGTCCCCACCCTTAGGAGGCAGAGACCCTTGTGTTCAGCAGGGCGACCTCCGTGGTCTGGGGGTCCTGGGCTGTCGCCAGTTCCCTCCCCAAACATGAGACCCCAAAAGCATCAGGATCTGAGGGTTGTTTCAGAGCTGGGGAAGGGGTTGGGTGCCCTTTAGCCCTCAGGAGAGCAGGCCCAGGACTCAGTGAGTGCCCAGGGGTGAGGAGGGCGCAGGAGGCCAGCACCAGGCCATCAGCCTCTGCACCCCAGAGTCGGAACTCAGGGTCTGAGCGAGTCCAAGGCCGCCCTGCAGTGAGAGGGAGGGCCGGGGTTGGCAGAGCGGGGCGGTGGTGGCTCTGGAGATGGCCGTGGGGGAACCGGGGGCAGGCAGCCTGGCTTTGGGACCCCAGGCCCCAAGGTCACAGCGACCTGCCACCTGCCAGGTCCCGATACAGAGGCAGTTGTCAGCCTGGCTGCTGGGGGCTCTGGGAGGGAGGTGGGGGCTGCACAGTGTGGGGCAGTGCAGGGTGTGGGACACAGTTTCTGGAGTCTCTGCTCCCCCAGCCTCGTCCCTACACAATCGCAGGCCCCCCCACTCCCCTCCCACTGAAGCTCACTCCAGACAGCCAGGTTGACAGCTGGGTGCCCCTGGACCCTGAGGCTGGTGAGGCTCCCACGGACGCCATGGAGGGATGGTCAGGGGCGCCCTCTGCTGCCCATGGGCACCAGTGCAGGATGGTCCCCAGAGGGCCCAGAGCCAGTCACTGTCCCCTGTCGGTGGCCTTTCCACTGGCCCCAGGTGCCTGGGTCCACCCATGCCTGGGAGACTCTGGCGAGGCTTCCGCTGGGGTCAGTGGATTTGCAACCCCCTCTCTGTCCTGACCCTGCCGGAAGCTGGTGAGGGGGCAGCTGGACAGGGAGGCCCCCAGGCCCGCAGGCAGCGGCTTCCCTCGGCTGCAGGGACTGGGTGGGAGCCAGAGCCTGGCCCAGAGGCTGTGGGGTGCAGGAGGTGAGAGGAGCCCTAGGCCAGGGTCACAGCCCGGGTGGGAGGCGTCAGGGCCCCCGTGATTATTGCTTTCAGCAATCTGAAAGATTGTGAGGTCCTGCTCCAGCCAGTGGATGCAGGACACAGCGGTCAGGACGACCCAAATGCGTAAGGGATAACTATGTCTGCCTTTCCTTTGTTCGTGGGTGCTCTCGCTGTCGTTCCATCTGCAATCAAGCACCCTTTCTGCAGAAAGTGAAGATGGCCTTGCTGAGAGATCTTCTGTCTCTGTGCTAACTTTTCTTCACAGCACTGATTATCTATTTCTAACAATTTTGCTATTTCTAACAGTGCTTGTAGTCCTAGCTACTTAGGAGGCTGAGGTGGGAGGGTCACTTGAGTCTAGGAATTTGAGGCTTCAGTGAGCTATGATAGCACCACTGCACTCCAGCCTAGGGAAGACAGCAAGACCTTCTTTCAAGAAAAGAAAAAAAGAAAAAAAGAAAGAAAGAAATAGGTCAAGCGAGAATAGAACTAATCATACAAATCACGTAATTGGAAAAAGCAGCAATGTCACAAATGATCCCAAATTAATAAGACAAAGGGAAATGACAAAGATACTGCCAGAAATCAATGAAATAGAGAACAATCAAATAATGAGTAGCAAAACCCAATGATCATACTTTGAAAAGATAGACTGATTTTGACATGAGCAAAAAAGAGGAAAATATATAAAAATAGAAACTGAAAATAGAAAAATAACTGCAGACAGAAGGGATCAAAGAAATCACAAGAACATTATGAGCAGCTGCATTCAGAAAGTGTGAATTCCCAGATCGTTTCAAGGAAAAACAAAATGCCAGAGCTGACCCCGGAAGAGGCCGGTGTGCGCCTGCCCCAGGCTTCCCAGGTAGACTGTGCCAAACTCAAGGAACAGCTCAGACTCAACTTAGACAAACTGTCCCAGAAATTAGAGAAGGGGCAAATGGCTGGTAAAGCCGATTCCAAAACCAGCTAAAGATAATCTCAGCTTTTGCCTGCTCAGCTGCTGGGTACTGTCCCCAGACCAAAGCGAGGGTAGGGGCTGCTCCTGGCTCAGTAACAAGACGCAGATGAACTGGGAGAGAAGGGAGTTAACCAGTTACAGGGAGGAGGCCTGGAGATTACTGCCAGACCAACGTTTTCCAGAGCTTGTGTGCCTTCTAAGCTCTGTGTCTGCGTGTAAGTGTGCATTCTTCTAAAGACATAAGTGATTAGCTTCTCGTCTATCACTAAGGTCTGAGTCCTGAAGACCTTCCCCTGGAGCCTCAGTGGATTTACTGAATCTAACTGGGTCCAGGTGCTGGGGTGATCACCCTTATCTTGCCTTCTGCCAAATCACGGAGGTTTAGGGAGCTCCTTTAGTCTCCAAGGAAGCTCGTTTGTGGAGGTCTGAGGAGTTTCTTCAGACCCCAATAAAACTTGTTTAATCCTAAACGGGTCCTGTCAAGGATTCCTTTGTTATCTTGTCAAGCTTCAAGGCCCCGGAGAGGCCTGGGCACAACTCTCAGGGGGCTTCTGTTACCTTTGCATAAGGCAGCCTTTGCATAAGGGCGCTGACTCTATCAGCTTTTAATATTTAACCTCACCACTCAGTCATCGTGGAAACAGTTGTTCCGGGGGCCTGCGTGAGTGAGACCTGGCCTGCCTCGGTACCGTTCCCAACGTGCTTGGCACAAAACAATAAAACAAACAGCAGGCCCATGAAGGAAAATATCCTAAATAAAATATTAGTTTGCCAAACCCAACAGTGTATGTTTTTAAAACCACACATGATCAAGCAACGCTTGTCTGTGAATACGAGACGCGTGCATCGGGAGGTCTGTTGTGTAGCTCACCATAGTCACAGGCTAAACAGAGAAAAACATCTCAGCCAATGCAGAAAGCACATCCCACAAGGTTCAATACCCATTAATGATACAAACTCTTAGCAAAGTGAGGAGAGAGGGAAAGTTGCCTGATTTCAAGTTTTATTACTGGATGTCCTGGCTGTGGGATATGATGAGGTTTCTCTTCAAATAGCCTGATCAAT